CACCAAAATGTCATATGCACACTCGATAGTTCTCTCTGCCCGGGTCTTGTTTGCGACCTTCAGTGCTGCTTTCACTCTGTCCAGCTCTTGGGAAAGAGTAGAGATGATCTACTCTGACTCCATGACCTTAGCCTCCGACGCCAAGAGTTGTTTGGTTGATTATGTTATCTTTTTCTCAGTGTTGATGAAAACAGCGTTTGTCTTCTCAGCATTTCCCTTAGTTGTCTCTGCCTCATTTAAGAGCTCAGTGATCTAGGCTACCTGGGAGGACAAGGTGTTGTCCCGGGCTGCCACCTTTTTCCTTACTGTGGCTAGAGCTCTCTCGACTTCAATCTTCAACCTCTTGGATTACTGGAGACTCTACCTCTGCGAATGGTAGCGCTCAGAATAACTGAGATTTGCCGGGCAGTCTATTAGAAGGAAAAAAGAGAAGTTTCACCGATGCAAAAAGAAATAAAAATAAGGAAAGAGTACTACTACTAAATAAGCCTTACCACCAACGAACTTTGGATGATAGAGCGAAGAGGTGATTGAAGTGATTGGTCTGCCGCCCCCGGTGCTCCTCCATGTCGGCACCGAAAGGAGGGTCTCACTCACAGTATAGGCTACATGAGGAGAATGTAAGATGGAGTCGGAGACTCGGATCGGCCTATTATCTTGATCCCAGGCGCAAGGGCGCCATTCCTCTGCTTGAGTTGTCGGCGCCGGTGGAGAAGTCAGAATTGTTATTTTTGTTGTTGTTTTTATTGGTGTTGTTGATGAAGGTACTAGTGCCAAGGGGATAGGAGTTCCCCTTCCATGGCCGATGTCGTCATGCCTTTGTTTGATTCTTTTCTCCTCTTCAGATTGAGGATCTCTAGGTGGCCTCGGCAGCGGCCCGTCGACCTTGGAGGCACAATGTTGGTTCCAAGAGGTGAAGGGGGAATAAAAGTCTTTCTTGGTGGAAGGGGAGGCTCTTTGGAGCTCGACCCTTGGCCCCCTGTGGCTTTGAGGATGGCTCGTTCCTTGATATAAGCTAGGTTGATGCGAGGGTGGTTAGACATAACAACCTTGAGTGCGTACTCTTCGTTCAGATTCTGAAGAACGTCGAAATCAGGTCAAGTCTCCCTCTCGGACATGTTGGTTTCGGGGTGGACTGTAGTGGAAGGTCCCCTAGCTCCTGCTGCCTCATCAGTGCCTCCCCCTCTGCAGCCCCCTCTAACTCGGCTCTAGTGGCTCTGTCGGGGTCCTCCTCTCGGTTTTAATGGAAGAGCTCAGAACACCTCGAGGGATCAAAGGGTTGAGGGGTCTAGGATTACTTCTTCTACCCTGGGGTATAATCTAGAAGTACATGGGCTGCTCTGCCAAACTCGTTGCCGATGTAACCCCAGACAATGACGATATCGTCAAAATTAACTAGATGTCGTGGCAGAGGAGCAGCTTCACAGTTGGAGACTCTTGCACAAAAGAATAAGAGCATGAGGACTTATATAAAAGCTATCAAGAACTAAGGAAGTTGAGAAGAGAGGGAGAAGTCGACGTACTTGTTTTTCGCCACTCCTTGGGGCAACTCAAGCTGTCATACTCAGGGCTGACCCCCCCTCTCCCAGGCACCCTGAAAACCAGCAGATCATCCTTGTACCCCTTTTTAGAATCCGGGAGGTGTGTCTTAAGGTACATGGAGGGGTTCTAGGCTTTTAGATAGAAATTTTGTTGGGGCATCACTCTCAGCAAGGAGTAGCAGAAGCGGATATCCTCGAGGCCAAGGTTGACCCCGAGACGTCTATTGCGCTCACCCACCCCATGATTATTCTAAAAGTGTTTAGGCAACACTGCCCTAGGAAGAGATGGAACCGGGACAGGAATTGAAGGAGGAGTGGATAGAGGGGGAATCTGATCCCACCCTCCATGATAGCCTTGGTGTAGAAGGACGTCGCGTCCTCGGTACCGACATTGGGGTGATAACGTGCGGGATCAAACTCATCCATGTCAACGCTACGAGGAATGTCATAGTGGATTTTGAAATTAGTGATCTACTGGCGGCCCTTGACAGTGTACGTCTTCGGCCTAGAGGTTCAAGCCTCTTGGACCTCCGTGACAGGGCAACGACGCCTCGACATTTCTTAAAGGAAAAAAGAAGAGTCCAATGGAGTAGTTTCTAAAGATTGGAAACCTAAGGGACACCACAGAAGGCAAAATGACGGAGGAGAAGGCAAAGGGATTGCACTGTCCTATCGGAGATGGGATGGGAGAGAGTGGAAGACAAGGAATCGCCGAGAAAACGGAAGGAAAAAGGGAAGGGAGACAAGTTAAAATAGAAAAATGGGGGAGAGTAAACTCACCAAATTGAGAAAACATAGATTTAGTGAATGATGGCCTTCGCGAAGAAGAATGGCAAAAAGATCAAACGAACGGCAACGACTCCGATAAATCTCCGGCAAGGTGTGCTTCTTCAGTTGGCTGGGGATTTCAAAGTATGAAGGAGAGGACAAGACTCTGTCTATATAGAGCCTGCCCCATCATTGCACACGAGACACGATGATGGGTGCATTCAATGCGCATGGCCTTTGAAAACGAGATTGCAACTAGACAATGATGAAAGTGGTTGAGCCCTTCCATCTTTCGACATGTCTCCCCTGTCGTACGAAGATCAAAAGGCTGGAGGTAGTTGATGGGACATTCCTGAGAAATGACTAGGATCTGACACGTGTCATTGGCATTGAGGACTCTCAAGAAGCCATGGCACCGAGGACACCCCATGTTCTCTGGAGATAACACGTGTCCTCGACATCAAGGACACCTTCAAATTCCTGTTCATGCATCCCCCTGCATGGTTTGGTCTCGAGTATTTTTTTCGACACGTCACCTCGGCTTCAGGATACATTAATGACTGTTACAACCCATCAATCTCAGGGGCTGACAATGAGTCATTGGCTTGTCTTCTCCATGAAGTCAGAATGGTAGAGTGAACGAGACCAACAACTAAGGGGAGTTAGACACGTGGCATGTTGTACAGGATTAAGGGCAAATTGACAAAAATACCCCTGCTGACATATAGTCATCCTAGAGAAGCATTTAGTAAATCCTCATAGGGATGTGACGTCCAGGGTGGCTTGAGAAGCCTAGGAGAAGGAACAGTAAATACTCCAGAGACCGAGCATTTAATGACTATGCATTGAAAAAAGAGCATTGAATGCTCGGGGGCCAGGGAGAAAGGATATTAAGTGCTTGAGAGGCCAAGTATTTAATACTTGAACTCCGCCATTGCGAAATGGAGGGTGCACTGCCCAATGATTGGGCACCGCCTGCTGCCTACTAATCAGTAATGATGACCTTTATAGAAGGTATAAATAGCTTTCTAAAACTCAAAGCAAGGGGAAACAAATTGACTTCTCACAACATACACTCTGCTTTTCCGATTCCCTCTCTCACAAACTGACTAGATCGTCAGAGGGGATACGCCGAAAAACACTCCGACGTCATTCTAACCTCTATTTTGAGTGTCAAGAAGCTTCAATGACGTGTCAGGATCAATCGGACTGCCCCTAAAGCAATTCATCACTATTCCTTAGACTCCTTTTGACCTATTTTTGCCACTGGATCGTTGACTTTTGTGGTAAACAAGAGTTCACCAAGGGAGAGATCTGTTCTTATTTATTTATTGTGCAAAATTCATCTCACACAAAAACCATGGTTATCTTCAAGATTACATTATATTTTGTTTTCTATTAATTAAGATAGATGAACGATTTTCCCAAATTTACAATATTTACATGTGATGAGCATAGTAAATGATTGCAATGGTATTGAATATAAACCTGCTTGTTAGCCTACAGGAACCGTATCGATCATGATTACACAAAGAAAACAGGTAGAAAACGATTTATTCAGTAAAGTAGGTAGAATTCATTTGTACTATAAAAGTTTGACAGTAATAGCAACAACAACAGCAAAAAAAATTCTGACAAGAAAGGATTACAAATTTTACAACTCTCCATTGAAATGTGCGGTTAAGTGAGAATGAAACAAATCATAATGGGTATTCTAAAAGTGGAAAAAAGGTGAAAGACATTGAATATACTTGCCAACAACAATCCCCATATCCTATTATCCGTAGGCACAGGCATAGATTTATGTAGACCAAAGAAAACAATTAAATACTAAGATTGATTTTCAGTAAGAAAAACTCATAAGAACTACACTTTTCAATTTCACTAAGTCATTAAACGGGTACAATTTTGGAATCTCATTCCCCGTACACACCAGGGGAAGAAACTTCTCAATAGCACCTGGAATCTTATAAATCATATCATATCTATTCCCTATAAATAGATGTACACTGATTATTTGCCTACAGAACCTACATCGATCGTCACTAAAATAATCCAAAGGGGACCTTGATCTTGTGTAATTTAGTGATTAAGCTAGAAAAGACAATAGCACTATGGTTCTCTTCCAGCTTTTTCATTAGAAGCAATTGCCCTGTTCTTACCGTCGTCACTCCACATTCCCTTCAACATGAAATGTGATGGACATAAACCAGCGAGTACAGTTCTTTGCTATAAGTGGTATCAAAACACAGACCACAAACAGGCTCAGGCCATAAATTTGAAGTGACAGAAATTGAGAATCGGTTCCAGATTATGGGTTTATATGATTTCTAACTAAAGAAATCACTCCGGACAGAGTAGAGGAATTCACGAGCAATTGAAGTGTACAAATTAAGAAGGCGTCTTGATAAATAATCTGGAATTTTAAAGTAGTAACTTTGAAGAAAAATCTAGAGACTTATTTTATTATATCTCAAATATCTGTCTGTCAACTCAAAAGGTGATGAATAAATGAGCTGTTAATGTAGATTGATCTAAAGCAAGTATAAACATACGATAAGACATGCAACAATTCAAGACAGGGAACAAGTAGCTGCATTTCAGAAAATTTTCTGCAGAAATTCCTCAGGTTCAAAACTTTGATATTAAATTACAGCAACATCCTTCACACATCTTTTTCCTATTTCATTCCAGGAGATAGAAACTCACCAGAACTCACTAAAAAACACTACATTTGCGAACTATACTCTCCTGAAATTATAAATGATACTTCACAAAAAGAATTTCTATACACTGCATGCCATAGTAAGGTTTTTCTCACGTTTGTCTAAAGCGCCACATGAACGATTTAAGCTTTGAAGAGTAGAAATTGCTTCCACAACTCTAGCTTTGTCTGCTGTGAACTGCTCATCCTCTTTATCAAAACTGAAGCCACCAAAGAATTGGAGAAGCTTGGTTCTATTTGCGACAAGGACATTGACTATCTCAGGAGGCTTATTTGGATTAGCAGCAAAAAGCTTAAACAGATTAAATGCTTCCAACTGGATATTCTTGCTCGACTCCTTGAGCAAATTCATCACCATCTTCATGTTATCCAATGAGCTTACATATCTCATCATCACTGAACAATTTGCACGATCCATCAATATCTGCCCCAACAACTTGGCGGCGTGCCATCTAGTGATGTAATTGCAAGAACCCATCAACTTGGAATTGTACTCCCCAAAAAACCAGTCATAATTTCTTGAAAGATACTCAGCAACAGTTGATCTGTGCCTTGTCAATAGCTCTTTAAAGGTTGCTGCTGCATCTGATGCTATCCCAAAATTTGGGTCTTGTATATAATCAAACAACTCCTTCATGTGCTCTGAATCGAGTATATACTTTGCAACGACTTGATGACGCGTGCAGTCTCTCAAAATTGTTCCATAACAGAAAGCAAGATCAGGGTCTTCATAGCCTTTCACCAAAGTGTCCAAAAGATCTAAATTTTGTTCCAAATAGTCAGAGGCAATCAATGTTGATCTTGGCTTAATCTGTTGCTTTTGTAAATTCGCAAACACATGGACTGCATCCTGGCGACACCCCAGATCCAATTTTGGAAGACAAAAGACAAGAAGGCGAAATGTATCATCTTTGAACAACTCTTGAGTCAATCTCGCACAAGCTTCGGAACGGGTTCGCAGTGACCCTCGCCATAAAGGACTATCTTCATCTCCATGATCAGTTTCTCCAATTCAGAACGCTTTTCTTGACGTTTGCTTTCGCGGGTCTCGGTGTTGCGATGAACGGAGATGAGGAGGTCTCGTACACGACGCACGAGCTCCTCCGGCGACCTCTTCCGGGGCTTCGACTTGAACAACAGAGCTTTCATACCGTCGAACGTGATC